GTTGGACACCTTCGAACAGCTTGTCCTGAAAGAAAAGTTGGCATGTGGTAGCTCGTACGATCGTGGACTCGGAGAAAGCAGCGTACCACAGTCTTGTGCAAGATCAACAGATGGTAATATGCACAAGGAAGGACGCTCATAATGGCGTTCTCTCGAGCCAGTGTTATAATGTCAAATTCTATACCGTCGTAGGGGAGAATGCGCGTCGGGTAGGGCGCTGGCAGCGCATCATATTCCGCGAGGGTCGTCGGATTGTCGAACGACAGACGCTCCACCGCCAAATCGAGCACTTCGCGAAAGTCGTACTTGCGTCCCAACCGGATGTGCGCTGCAATAACTGCGAGGGGGAGCGCCTTCTGGCACAAAAACGGCCTGCATTTCCATGTCCGCAGTCAGTGGCGCGGAGGCGCACGTTGAACGAGGGGTACTGTATGTACGAACGGCGAATAAAGCGCCTTCAGAAGGTACTCTACGTCAGTCACGTCGTCCCCCGCGAGGTCGATGACGGGACAGCCGTCGATGGTAGGCTGCCCCGGCGGCTGGGGTAGTCCCTGCAAGTCTCGAAAGAACGTAGAGTTCAGTGCCAAAATACTCCAGTGAACGCGGAATTGCGTGTCCTGGGCCTGTAAGATGACGCTTCCGTCGCTATGCCACATTGTCGAGCGCGTCGTGGATGTTTTTTTTTCCGTAGCAGATGGCGAGGACATGGTGGCGATAACAGGGGTACAGTTGCGATCAAAGGCAGATTTTCGGCAGAAATCGGCTCGAAAGTGATGCGCCCAAAATGTCCAAGCGTCAAATCGTGCTTTCTGCCTCGACCCATGATATTTATATTAATCCGAAACGTGGTCCCCGGCCTTCCCAGTCAATGCAAACTCGGAGCACTAGACGACTTCTGCCTCCATGTTACTGACCTTGGTACATGTAAACAATAAACAAATATTCCGTGAACCCTCATCGCGCAAGTAGCCCCCGGTCCCTCCCACTGGCGCCGGCGTGGTCTGCTTCTGCGCATCCATCTCCCGCACACCCGCACACGCCGAACGCGCATCTGCCACCTGCCCCATCAGTTCCTCGTCCATCCACCTCACCCGCATACGTCCCACGTCCCAACTCGCTGCTCCTCCCCATCCGCGCTGCATCTGACATCGGCATCTGTCTCATTCCGCGCTCATAAGTACTTGCGCACACGCACGCACGCACTCGCATCGTACCGCCCACCGACGCGCCGCCCGTCCACTCTGAATCACGCCGCTCGCCCCCCGAAGTGCGCGCCGAAGACTCGGGCCGACCGGCCGGCCGCACGCCCGGGGGTGGTATCCCTCAGTGACGGCGAAGTACTCCCCGCATCGGGCGCCTATCCCTCCTCCCGCCTCCCTCCTCCCGCCCCATCATCCCGGGCAGCGAAAACGAACGCCGATTCACGTGTAAGCTCAGCGCGCCAAGAAGTCGGAACCAAGAACCAAGGACGAAGGACTCGGAACGCCGCGCAGCTGAATCCACCGTTGGCCCCGCTCTGCAGGTCCGACGCGAAGGAGGCCGATTGCTCATGATCGCCTGCGCAAGTATGCGCAAGACGCGGTACGTCGCGATAGTCGAGAGTCGAATGTCGATGCTAGCGCGTAGGACCGTGAGTGTTGAGCGTTCGGAGCGGCGGGAGGGGGGGGGGGGAGGAAGGCAAGGCTGTGTCGCGCGCAGACAGGCAGACAGGCAGACAGGCGTTGGCCATGGTGGGTACTCATTCGGGGGAGTGGGGCTGTGCAGCCGAGCTCAGGTAAGTGGGTAGGCGAGGAGAGGATTTATTCTGCGGATCGGGGGATCGGGGAAGGGCGTTTGGAATTCACAGAAAGAAGAAGATAGACGAGAGACGAGAGGCGTACGATGCGTTTGGCACCAACCATAGATGCGTATTTGGCTATGGGCGGGCGGGGGTATGCATGGATGGATGTTTGTATATGTACACAGAGCGCCAACAGAGCATGACTGGGGGCGGTGGAGAGAGGATCCCGTGGCGGTGAAGAAGCGGCGCACTGAGAGCTGTGCGAGTCTGTAGTGTAGATACCCCGAAGTCGAAGTAGGACGATCTGCTCCCCGCTGTAGCAGGGCTCAAGGTGAAGGAAAGATCCCGTGCGTCGGAGGAGGTGCATCTAAGTATCCGAGCGGCGACGTGCACGATGGGGCTAGGATAACTTGGGTGTAAAGATGCGGAGACGATGGCGTCGCGCCAGGCAGAAGGACTTGCGCACGGCACACGCACGCACGGCATGCGCACGCACGCATTCGCATCGCCCACCGGCGCTTCGGACTCGCACCAATGCCCGTCCACTCTGAATCACGCCGCTCGCCCCCCGAAGTGCGCGCCGAAAACTCGTGCCTTGGTGGTATCCCTCAGTGACCAAGTACTCCTCGCATCGGGCGCCCGTCCGCCTCATCAGCCGGGCAGCGAAAACGAACGCCGAGTTACATGGAAGCTCAGCGCACCACGAAGTCAGAAGTCAGAAGCAAGAACGGAGGACTCGGACTCGGACTCGGAACGCCGAATCCACCGTGCGCTCTGCTCTGCTCTGCAGCAGGTCCGACGCGCGGGAGGCCGATTGCTCATCATCGCCCGCGCACGTATGCGCAAGCAAGACTCGGGACGTCGCGATGCTAGTGCGCAGGATCGCGACGACGTTGAGCGTTCGGAGCGTAGGAGGGGGGGAGGGGGGGAAGGCACGTCTGCGGCGCAGTCAGGCAGACAGGCAGACAGGTGTTGGCCATGGTGGGTACTCATTCGGGGGAGTGGGCTGTGTAGTCGAGCTCAGGTAAGTGGGTAGGCAAGGAGCGGGTCGGGTCGGAATTGATCATGAGGGAGGGGGGCATCGGGGAAGTTTGCGTTTGGAATTCGCGGAAAGAAGATAGACGAGAGACGAGAGACGCGTACGCCGCGGTGGCACCAACCAATAGATGTGTATTTGGCCATGGACGGGCGGGGGTATGCATGGATGCGTGTGTACAGAGAGCGTCATGTACAGCGCCAACAGGTGGTGAAGAGGGGGTCCACCGACAAAACAATCCACTGAGCATTGCGAACCGCGCGAGTTTGTGCATACCCCGAAATCGAGGTAGGACGATATGCACCCCGGTGTAGCAGGGCTCGAGGTGAAGGAACGATCCCGCGCGTCGGAGGAGGTGCATCTAAGTATCCCGAGCGGTGAAAGGTACGATGGGGCTAAGTGTAAAGACGCGGAGACGATGGCGTCGCGCCAGGCATCCCAACCCAGGCGAGCCGACGTAGAGATAGTTTGTGTGCGCAGGACATAGGCAGCAGGCAGCAGAGCACTAGTGGCCGTAGACGCAGTCCAGGGCGGCGGAATATCCCAGGAGACACCGAGTCCGGGATAGCGAAGGAATCGCAGGGACAGACGGACGGAAAGGCGCTGCATTTACTCCTCCACGAGCTCGTACCCCACCCACACCACCTCTGAACAACTCGTACACGGCACGAGATGCATCCCGCGCTCCATATCGGCGCCCGTGATAGCATAATTCCCGCCACACCGACACGCGTGCGTCCACCGATCGTGCTCGGGCACCTCGTCAAACTCGGCGAGGGAAATGACCTGTGCGGGGCGCGGGCCGGCGGGCATGCGCTGTCGGTCGGTATCGTGTTGCGCGCGGCGGGCAGGGTCGGAGAGAACGCGATACGCCTGCTGGATCGCGTGGATGTCCTTGCTCTTGGCGTCGGGATTCTTGTCGGGATGGGCGGCCAACAGCGCGCGATGATACGCGGCCTTGATGTCCTTGGGCGACGCGCTGCGGTGGACGGCCAGCAGCTTGTAGTAGTCGTCGTTCATAAGCACCGGATGCGCGGGCCGGTCCTGATGCCGGCGCTAAGCGGAGTTTGAAACCCCTCTCACGCAAAAATCTCGCCCCGTCCACGACCAGCGCAAACGCACCCCCTCAACAAAAATGGGCTCCACCAGGTCAGCATAACGCGCCGGACCCCGTCCTGTTGCCCTCGCTCGCTGGAACGGCGAATTGGGCTGGATGCGGGCCCCGACTTGTGGATGTCGTTGTTCTGACTTTTGTTGGGTAGACTGTACAGCAAAGGCCGTGTGCTGGGCCACAAGCGGGCTAAGCGCAACACCCGCCCCAACACCTCCCTCATCCAGATCGAGGGCGTCGCAACAAAGGAGGACGCGCAGTTCTACCTCGGAAAGCGCGTCGCATACGTATACAAGGCAAAGCGCGAGATTCAGGGCTCAAAGGTCCGCGTCATCTGGGGGTGCGTGAACGTCCACTGCCCTCCCGAGCCAGTACTCACCACAACCACCCCAGCCGCGTCACCCGGCCACACGGCAGCTCCGGCGTCGTCAAATCAAAATTCCGCGCAAACCTCCCCCCCCGCGCGTTTGGCGCCAGTGTCCGCATCGTGCGTCGCCCTACTCTGTCCCTCCTGACCCCCTTGGTGACGTTTGTCCGCAGATGCTCTACCCCTCGACGATCTGAGCGTACACTCCCCTTCTCGTATCGTATCACATTGCAATATGACATGCGCATGCCCACACCTTGTATTATTCAATCCGCCGGCTGAGTGAGGGTGGCGATTGGTTTTCGGTGCGATTCTGTTGGGTGTGCAGCATCAAGCCTCTTCTGGGCGCGCTGTACGCTCTAGCTCTTGATCCCCTCTTTCCCGGTTCCGCTCCTCCTTTCTCACTTCTCTTCTCTGGTTTGGATACCCTCCCATCGTATCGTTCCCACGTCGCCGGTTTACGATCGACGACAGCGGTTGGCTGAGTCCGTTTCGATTTGTCTCGTTCTTCATAGTCCTGCCCTGTCGTCGTCGCGCGCGAGGCCCGAGTCACAGCCGCACACGTACTACGGACGCCCACCAGGAAAGATCCCGCCGCGCATCCTTATGATCCTACGAATTGTCTCGCACATGAGCTGTTGTGCTTCCAGTTTCCGAAATAGACGAAAGAGTAGACGAAAATAAAAAGTTTCACCATCTGTCCGAATGACCTGACCCCGAATCGAACGGGTGATCTTCTGCTTATACATTTTTTACCTATTCTACTAAGTAGAGCAGACGCACTAACCATTATGCTATCAGGTCGATACCCTTAACTAAGATTAGTACTAGGACCTGCCAGTGGGTTCAACTTGGCGATCAGGCTCTGCGCTATGTTGCTTACACTCAAGTTTGCGGTTTCTTCATGATCACCAAGCCGACAACTTGAAGCGAAAAAGTTGTAAAAAGTAAAGAAAAAAGTAAAGTAAGAAAAATCCAACACCATTCCGACATGACCCGACCCCGAATCGAACGGGTGACCCTCTGCGTACCGACCAGAAGGAGCAGACGCACTAACCATTGTGCTATCAAGTCAATGCTCCTTCTTTGTGAATTGTGAATTGCTATTCAACCCGGTTCCGAGTCACTGGTAACTACACTCAAGACAAAACAAAAAACTTGAAGGCTGACCTGACCCCGAATTGAACAGGGACCTTCTGCCACATTTTACTCATGCTCGTCTCAGGCGTAGCAGATGCACTAACCGTTGTGCTACCAGGTCTATGTCTCTGACTGTCACAGTCTTTCCCTTCGCTCCCTCATGTTAGTGCCAGTGTTGACCCAGTCTCTTATAAACAGATGCCACAGCTGCTAACTCGTACCTTGTTATGTTGTACCCAGACGTTCAAAGAAACAACAACAGATTTGCAAGAGTCACACCGGCTTTTGCTCGACCGACGACAACTTGAGGAACAACTCCGAGTCGGATGATGAAGGACAATTGTAGAAGAGAAGAAAGACCTGAAACTGAACTGTTTCAAGCAAAAGTTTGAACTTGGGCCCCTCGACATCCGCACAATAAATAAAGGACAACCCCAATCCGGCGGAGGAGGTGTTCAAAAAGCTTAGGAAGAATGTGTGGGCACCCAATGGCGGTGACTTGCCGCTTGCGACTTGTTTGCGATTCGAGGAACAGCACAACTTGTGCTCAAACGACCAAAATTCAACCGTGGGAACTGGTTTGATCTACATTCAAAAATTCCGCGGTGGGAGACTTTGAGAAGGTCTATGAGCTGGAAAACTCTTCTACTTGGTGCGTCTTGGATTCCGTCGTATTTCCCGATTGAATTGTGTGGAACCCGTTGAAAGCGGTCCTGTGTGTGGTTTAGGTCAGTCTGTTGCAGACAGACACCAACTCGCGCCTTGCATGGCTAGATTGCGGTGACCAGAACTTATAGGACCGTGCTGTCAGATTAGTGTCTTTAGTTGGGAAAGACAACTTGAAAGCACGCTCGACAGAAATGTTGTTGTGCACGAATTTCCCTCCTTCTCTAGCGTTGAGAAATCAGTGTTCATAATCAATTAATTGTGCCAGTGCGCGGCGGCCGGTCAAGACAACAACCCGCAATTGAGAGTAGAGCAGCATCTCGTACACCTGACCCCAGTCCGATGAACACCGCCAGATCGCCGGGTACCTGGCACAGTGTGTATTGGGAGCGTTGAAACGAGGTCTGTACCTCTTGTTGAAATCATTCCAGCATGTTTTCGGTTCGCCGAGGATGGTTTGTTCATGGTTGGGATAGATGTAAATGCCGAAGATGAACGAAGACGTTGCATTAAGAAAGTAGTAGTCGGCTTCTTTCGGCCGATCATCGATCACTCTTTTTTTCTCTCGCACCGCCATGTCCCAACCTCCAGGAAAACGCCAGCGCACCGAAGACGCGCCGATTACACGCTCGGAATTTTGGCACACCGATGGGAGTGTCATCCTACAGGCACAAAACACGCAATTTCGCGTTCACTGGGGGGTTTTGGCGCGCAACTCATCGTTCTTCCGCGACATGCAGTCGCTGCCCCAGCCGCCTGACCAACCAACGGTGGAAGGCTGTCCCGTGGTCGAGCTGCCGGATGATGAAGCCGATGTTGAATTCGTATTAAAGGCGCTTTACACCCCGTCCGTACCTTGTTTTTTCATGGCACACCAAGTTTGCTGACGTGCGACACACAGGACGTTGTTGGCTGAGTCAGACCTGCCGCTGTCTGCCATCGGCGCTCTCGTCCGTTTGGGGCATAAGTACGAATTTAGGGATTTGTTCGATTCTGCGGTGGGACGCCTGGCGTTTGAAAACCCCACATCCTTCGAGGAATACCAGGCCCGACTCCGACTCGTCGACCTCGAATATGTTATACTCCAACGCGCATCACTTCATCTCCGAGTCTCTACTTTGATACCGTGACTCTGGTCAGGGAGAACCGTTTATGGTCTCTTCTCCCTTGTGCCTGCTTTCGCTTAGTGACCGCGCGCAGCGCCGTAAGTACCTGCGTGCAACCGAGCTGAAATAGTCTGATATCTCTAATAGGCAGGACTCTTCAACGGTCTCTCCAGGGAAGACGGAACACTTGCTTCTTTGTCTTTGGTCGACCTGCGTAGATGTGTCGCAGGCCGCGAGCCGAGCGACTTTTCACCAAGCAATTTGAGTCTGGCTACACATTCGGATGGAGACGAGGCTGGGATTTCGACGGATGCGCTAATCCTCCTGCATGTGGTTACATACGGACCGCCATTGTCGAAGGCTATTCCATCCATGCCGGCCTTCTCGTTTTCCCGAAGGAGCTTTCTTATATTTACAAACACCTGTGTCCTCCATGCTGTCAACAGCTTAAGGCAGCGATGCTTGCAGGTTTCAAGAAGATGTGGGAGGAGTTACCCGGGGCTTTCGACCTGCCAGCTTGGAACGAGCTGAAGAACGACCCATAGTATATTTATTCCACCCCTACATGCTCGGTATTTCATCGCCCCCATCCCCATCGTCTACATCATTCTAATATGTACCTCCATCCTAAAGGAACCAATGCTGAGCTGCTTCTTTCCCTCTCTGTCTCTATATCGGCGCTCCCGTTGAGGCTGCAAGACATCAATATGACGAGTTACAATCCACGAATGACTAGGTGTTATCGGCGCGGTGGGGCCTTCTCAATCCCTATAAAATACCCCGACGGTGCCGCTTTATTTTGCATCCTGAAACTGCACAAAGGTAGTCGTTTTTGCTCGCCGTGAACATCTTCAGGTGTTGCGGGAGTTATTGAACAAAAACGCAAAATCACTGTGCTGATGTTGGGGCAGCAGGCAGTATGGAGGTCGAGGGGATCGGATAACAACGAGCTGGTACACAATTAGACGTCGAGTCACACATACTGTATGTACATGAGTTTCGCACCTCTCTCTTTCATTAGCTCGCCAGCGTGGGTGCCTATGCTTGTTGAGGAGGGCAATCTGAGACAGTTCAGTTAAAGTGCCCTGCTGCGCAGGGAGTAGAGGGAGATGACATCGTGATCGAAATTGGCGATAAAAGCTCGGTAGGTAGGGCGAATCGAAACTTGAGGATGAGATGAATTTCAACCAGAAAAGCCCACGAAGTGTTTTCGGAGCTTTCTCTTTTCTTCGGCGTCGAACGATATGGTAGACTCATTGCACTCTAACTGTAGGACCAGGCGAATCCAACCGTGGGACCCGCTGGTCCGGCCCCGGCAGAACGGCACAGAATTTTTCGAACTATGTCGACAGACTGTTCATATATCCGCGACTGCAAGTTTAATGATTCCTCCAAAGCCATGAGCATCTCTAAGTATTTAAATCCTCCTTGCAGTCGATATCCCTCCGGTTTTGCCTCTCTTAATATCTTCAGTGCTCGCTGACTGGTCCAAAATCGAATTCAATGATCACCGGTCTCGAGCTCATCTCTTTCTCCACCTTACAATGCTCCTTCCTTCCATCGTTCCGCCTCCTCCTTCTCACCCCTCATGTTGAATTCCTGCCATTCTGTATCCCTTGTTTGGGCGGGTCGCTGGAACCCGACGCTTTGCGTGGACAATTCGAGGAACACTTCGTGGGTCTTGGCGCACCAGCCTGCCACCGGAAATTTTCCTCCGGCGAGGTGGCAGTATACGTACTCGCTGCTGAAAATCATGGAGCCATCATGGGTTATTCTTCCTTTTCGGTGGGCGTCTCAGCCTGGATACATACAAACAAAAATGTGCTATCCCTCAGTGTTGGCTCACTCACACTCCTTCTAGCAAATAGACTGACCATTTACCGCTGACACAACAATCTATAAAATTATTTTACGCTCAAATGAATCCAACCGACCAAAATTCAACCGTGGGAACTGGATTGATCCACACTCAAAAAATTCCGCGGTGGGAGACCTCCTAAGCGACGGCCCCCTGAAATATACCACCATTATACTTGCTGTGTATCAGGTCGTTTCGCTACCACACTCTTGACGCTGAGCTGGATTTGTGTAGTACGTGCGTCCAGCACGACAAGCAGGAGCAAGCAGGTAACGAGCAGGTGAGAGTGTAGGCAGAAAGAAAAGGGGTAAGATTTACCTAGTTTTTCGACCTTCCGCCGTGAGGCGAGCTGAAGAACGACCTGTGGCGCTTTCCTTGAAGGCGGGGCCGTCTGTTTCGTTGAATCTTAACAATAGAAACTATCATGGATGACACTATTTCCTGCGTGAATCTCCGGTTGAATCCTCGTACCCATCCTTATTACAAGATAGAAACACACCTTCAGCTAAATCAGTCATGAAACTGGATCCAGAAATGTAAATCCGCCATGTCAAAGCTCTCCGAAATATCATCTTCTGCCAAATTCAGTTACAGCAAGGATGATGATGATGATGCGCTACAGTTACACGGCGTCGTAGCTTGGGCCAGGCTCTGTTCTTCCCAGTCGAATTGAACTTTGAGTGTTTCGTTCGTTTTCGTACTCATAGTTAATAGCGAGTATCAGACGTGCCTCATGAACTATGCGAACCCAATAATAGTCGAGCCACCTTCGAAGAACACCTGTACGAAACGGTCGACAGATATTGAATTGTACTTGCGGATAGATGGAATTTGACAATCCGTGTGTGGTTCATCGTGCGGCAAAGCTGAAAGTTCCACATGTATACATGGAACTGCGCGGAGACTACGAGAAGTTACTCAACTCGCTCCAAGTTGGAAACTCGAAAAAAGCTCGGCAACTCCTCCCATGTCCGCTTTCTTCCCTCTGCATTTGATTGCTTGATGCTCCGTTTGCACGCGAAACATATTTTGTGGTTCGAGCTGGCCTGGGGGTCAAACCTACTGAGAGCCTTGACAATAGGTGAATCCAAAACTTTTCGGAGGCGGGCGTCTCGCTTTCTGATGCACTGTGCAGGGATTGGCGCAACCAGGGCTTGGAACCCAGGAACGATACCATCCACACCCATAGCCTGGTTGCAGTTGTGCATACATGATTTTTTCGCGGCCAGAAACACATCGGCGTAATTCGTCTGGTGTGAAAGGAACGCGACTTCCATCAGCTTTCTTGATACCTAGGAACAACTCGTCCTGTTTATGAGAGTCAGCCGGGCAATTCAACGATGAAAGATAATGACTCCCACCACAGTTCTCAAGTCTGTCGATATCAACAGACGATAGTATGCGCAGGGAAGGACGGACAAAATGTCGTGCTCCCGAGCTAGCCTTATGATGTCCAGGTAGAGGCCAGGGTAGTTCACGATACGGGTGGGA